CTTCCGATCTACCTGCTGCAGCACGCGGGAAAGACGCGCCTTCTCGCCCTCGCTGTCGCCGGCCGGGATCCCTCCCCCTTCCCCCCCTCGAGACTTGTATATGTGTCTAGACGAACACCCAATCGTCAGACTCCACATCAACGTGGAGTATCCTCGGCAACGTCTCCTTTGCCAACTTGACACCGCCTTCCTGTGCCTTCCGCATCTCCTTCTCCGCGTACCACCCGCCCTTGTCGAGGATGACGCGCTTCAGCGCCTGAATGCGCTCGAAGGCGCGTAAGCGCTCCGTCTCGATCTGCGGCGTGAGGTGCGACAGCTGCAGTGCATGCTCGTCCCGGAGCGAGCGGGAGGAGAGGCGGCGCAGCGAGCTCAGGGGGTGGAGGGAGCGGAGTGTCGTCGACGAGCGCGGACGGAGACGCTGAACACTGCGAATGTTGCGGAGTGAGTGGAGGGACCGCAGCGAGTGCAGTGTGCCGTGTGATGTTGTGCGGGCATGTCCCCGCCGGATAGGTGGCCGGACCGGATCAAAGTGCGCAGGCACGGGGAGGGCGCCGGCGGGCCGCGGCGCGCACACTCGTGAAGGTGCGAAAGGTAGCCGAAGAGGGCGAACTCGGCCTCGAGCCGAGCACGAGGCGGGAAGAATGGAGGGATGTTGACGAGGTTGCGGGGCACGACGAGCGCGAGGCTGACTCGCGTCCGGCCCGGCGCAGCAGCCAGCTTGTACTTGCTCACTGGCGGGGTGATGCGCCGCCGCTTGGACTTTGGCGGCGAGATCGGGGAGACTGGGGACGAAAGCTGCGTTGCGGCGGGTGCGAACAGCGGAGCGGGGCTGCGCTTCCTGCTGGGAGAGGTCGGTGGCGTAGATTGCGGGCGGGTGGCGGGGAGAGCAGCGGGTTCCGGCAGCGCCGCCACCTCTTCGAGCGACTTGGAGCGCGGCGAGGGAATGGGGAGCAGAGTGTCGCTGCTGGAGACGGAGTCTTCGCGCTCGAGCGGCGGCCGTCGGGAGTGTGGGCGATACACAGATGGCGGCTGTGGGCGGGGGAGGAGCTTGGACGGCTTGAGTCTGGTTTGACCGTCGGTGACGCCCGAGACATGGGTTCGACCCTCGAGAAGGAGCTTCGGGTGCGCAGCCTTTCCCCGCGAGAGACAGGAGGCAATGACGGCGGGATCCCAACCGAACTCGGCTATGGGGACGGAGAGCCTGGACTCATCGTCGTCGGACAGCTCGTCAATGTCGACCACCTCAGAGAGGAGGCGCGAGAACGGGAACAGGGAGGACGCAGAAGTGCGGGCGCTGTGCAATGAGCGTGCTGGGGTTTCAGGCGGCGGTGCGAGCAGCGCCATGATGATTGTCGGAATGGAAGTGGGCGAAAAGTGTTCTTGCAGTCGAGAAGGTTGAGGAGTGCGCTGCGATCGGAGATGAATGCAATGAGGCGTCAAAGGCGAATGGAAGGCTGTAAGATTGTCAAAGCGTGAGGATCGTCGAATCGAGTAATACAGAGCCGTCGCTGAATGCAGATGAGAGTAGTCGTACAGACAAACAAGTGAGGGAGGAGGAAGAGAAAGGGTGAAGGATGAAGTGCCGGCCGAGTGCCAAAGGACGCAGGCGCAGGTTGTGTGTCGTTGCTGTGGTGAATGTTGGTGGGTGAGAAGGACGAGAAAACGCCCCCCGCTGAGAACCTTTATGCATGCGCTGCGCCCCGCCTGGCCCCGCCTTACTCGGGTTGCTCGACTTTTTGCTCAACCTGGTCGGCAACACCCCCGCAGCCTGCTAGCCGGGGTGAGGTCACTGGGTGAGAGCCGCGCTAGGCTGTCAACTAGCTGGTCGGCGTCGAGCGCCTCATGAGTGGGCGGTGCGCCCCACCGTCACCAGCGTCACCGATCACCACGCGGGCGGCATCGATGCCGGCGCTTGGCTCCGTCGGACCGGTAAGCCGGGAATGCTTACATGCACCTTGTCAGAGAAAAGAGGCGACCTAGGGTGCGAAGATTTGCGGCAGATGCGGCAGTAGAATGATTCGATCGCAAGGAGACGGAGATCTTCGTTCACCACTAGCGCTGGAGCTAGGCTGATAGTCGTGTGACGCCGGCGAATGCTGCGCCGAGCTTCACGCTGGAGACACACGCAGCGCATGGCGACAGATCCATACTGCGTCATGTGGGGCATTGCGTAGAGCCGTCCAGATTCAGCCTCGAATTTCGGACGATGCCCCGTCGTGTTTTGGGCCATGAGATCAGTGTCATTAGTATCCTCCGTCAGTGGAAACAGCTCAGTGGATACAGCCGCCGAGCCCACTTGGGTTACGCACTAACGGCCGTCGGCGCCTGGTCGCGGCCCTTCCATCCGCACCAGTCCTCGTGTTTACCTCGTGCTAGGCGTGTTATGCTTCTTCATACGTCACTCTTCTAAAGGCGAGCCGACTCCTCGCCTGGAGCAGCCGTGTCGCCAAGCTTGCCTCCCTTGCCCATGGAAGCGATAAAGTCGGAGAAGAACTTCTGCCACTGGCTGTTGCCCGGGGTCCAGTGACCGCCATCGTGTCCGACGGCGCGCGAAGTAGGCGTAGCGTCCTGCAGCTGCTTGCTCGCCTTGGCGGACACGACGGGGTCCTGCGCGCCGACGACGTGGAGCACGGGCGTGTTGACGGGGAAGTAGGCGCTGAAGTCGGGCGTCTTGGAACGCGGCTTGAAGCCGCCGACCGCGATCGCGAACTTGAGCGGCGTGGCCGAGCCGCGCGTGAACTGCGGCGAGAGCCCGTCCTTCTCCAGCAGCGCGGTCAGGGCCGCCGTCATCGCCGCGCCCTGCGAGAAACCGATCACGCCGTCGAAGGGTCGCTCCTGCGTCTGCAGGAAGTCGGAGATGTACTTGACCGAGTTGTCGTACTCTGCCGTGTCAGCTCGAATTGGAGTTCTACGCAGCTGCTTCCTCCAGCGCAACAAGAGCTCCGGCGTCCACTGCCCTACGTGCTGCTCACTATCGCTCGCAGCTCACTCACCAGCGTAGGTATCCCGGTCGGGCGCGAGCCACCAAGCCCTCGGGGTGACGTGGTGCTTGTCACTCGCCTCCTTCAGGTTCTTCTCATACTCCTTGACGTGGACGGGGGCGAGGTGCTCGCGACCAAGCACGATAGGCGGGTCAAGGAACGTGAACTCGGCGCGCCCGTCCTTAGACTGGCTGACGACGGTACCGAGGCGCTCGCCCTGCTCCGATGCCGAGGGGGGAAGCTGGAACTTCTGGAACGAGCCCGAGAGCGGCTTCCAGGCCGCGGCGGCGTCGAAGGACGGCGACTGCAGGAGCGCGCCGCGCAGCGAGGTCGCGAACGTGATCGCGTTCTGGGAGTAGCCGCACAGGGCGAGGATGCGCACGGGCGAGCTCATCGTGGTCGATTACCAGAGTTGGTGTGTAAAGGAGAGAGGAGAGGAAAGAGGGGAGCAGAAGTGTGGAGAAAAGTTCGAGTTGCCCACCGAGCGACCCAGCGGCCGAGATGGGGTCGGAGCTTGGCGATACGCTCGCCTATGCTGGGAATGTCGGAGCTCCAAGTAGCCGGCCCCTGTGGGCGCCGCGGGCGGAGGCGTCGTTGGGGGCCAATCATCGGTCAATTCCACCGCTGCCCGCAACCAGTCAGCTTCATGCTCGGCTTATGCGATGTGCACTGGAGCGTGTGCATGCAGTGTGTGTGCGGACAGCGTTGTTCCGCGGAAATGCAGCAAGTGGGCAAAGTCGTAGAAGGGAGCTCGCCGAAACGTAGGGTGGAATGTTGAATGCCGATCGTCTGCCGAGCTCCACCGGGGCGATCAGTGCGTAAGGCTGATGGGATGCATGATACAGACAAGTCTAGTTCTGGCAACAGATTCTAAGTATACAAATGTGATACAGGCCGGGCTCAGAGAACGCGGGGAGCGCCCGCGACGCCGTTCCATCCCGCCTCGAGCGCGAATCGCTCCTCGCCCACTTGGGCGCGGTAAGACTCCTTCGTCATGATCTTGACGCGCTCGAGGATGCGTTCCGTCTCCTCGGCGTCGGCGTTGCACTCAATCTGCTCCCGCAGCCGCTCGAGGAAGTTCTCAGCAACGTCCTCGTCGCCGAACTGGGCGTCGTAGATGCGGCCGGGGAGGGACTCGAGACCGACGAAGGCGAAGGTGCGACTCGGGTGAAGGAGGAGGTCGGCAGCGACCTGCTCCACGAGTAGGGAGAGGAGAGTCGCCTTCCCCTCGGTGGGGGCGTAGAAGTGCATGGGGTTGAAGTCCTCCTCGCCGACCGTGCTGAAGAGGAGCGAAACCTCCTCGACAGAAGAGGGCAGGGCGCAGCCAAACTTGACGTGCGCGGGGCCGCGGGGTCCAGACTCGGGCGGGGCGAGGCAGCGAATGTGGGCGGCGTAGCGCTGCACACCCTCCGGAACGCGCTGCATGGAGGCGGTGACGGCCCAGTTCGCGTTCGCCGAGTACGGCACGTCGACGGCATCGATCAGGCTCGGGGCAGACAGCGTCGCCTCCGCGAGACCCTTGCGGCGCACCACGCTCGGTGCCAGATCCTTGCGCCATCCGACGAGGATGCCGCCGCTGACGTCGTCGACGATGCGGACCTGCTGCAGCACGCGGGAAAGACGCGCCTTCTCGCCCTCGCTGTCGCCGGCCGGGATCGGGAGCGAGAGCTTCGAGCTAGAGCCGGTGGCGGGGTTCAGGTCGCCGTTGCCCACGAAGAGGGGCGAGGCAGCTGGTGGCCAAGCGGGGCGCTGGACGAGCGCATGACGGAAGAGACGGCGGTCGACCTCTGCGCCGACAGTGGAGGAGGTCTGGCGCAGGGCGAGGAGGGTGGCGTAGTCGGCATTGTCGATGACGGAGGAGAGGAGGTGGGGGAAGCAGGCGTGGTGGAATCCGACGAAATCGCTGGTCGTGCTCATGGTTACTGTTATTCTGCGATGAGTGGTGGGTGATGAGGATGAAGGGGGAAAGGGGGGTTTGCATCGCATTGTCACCGGGGTAGATAAAGCTTCTCGGTGTTGAGCGGACGTGGTCATGTGGACCAAGGTGCACTAAGTTCATGTGTCCCAGATTTGCGATTCGTAAAGCGAATTCGGAACGATAAGATACCCCACCGTACACCTCCCAGAGACGGAGGCTTATCGAAGGCAGTGGCTTCGGACTCAGTTGGTTCCGCGCTCCGAATACTGGACACGTGGAGTCCTCTCCTGCGCCTGGCATTGGTCAGAGGGTAAAACGTCAGCCTCATGCCGCGGAGACACAGGGCTGTCCGCGGGGCTTATCACGGATCTGCTCTTGGGCATTCCAAAACGATGACTGCACTAGTGGAATGGACAAGCGGGCCGGACCGAGGAGGAGATTAGGAGGACGTACGCCGCACCCACATGCCGCCATGCCGAAGGAATCGAATCGGATGCCGACTTGGATCTCTCCCGAATCAGCAGCTGGCTTTCACGAAAAGCGACGATCAGTGGCGTCGCTGGGTCTCACCAGTCTCGCCGGGGTCTCGCCGGGGTCTCGCCGGATCACATCAGCCACGGCGTGCAGAGTTTACGTAAATTCCGTCACTGCTCTCTGGAGTGGACGTCAGTGGCTCTGATGTGCAGTCGTCAGAATACAGAAGCAGATCACAGACTGCTCAGTGCATGGCTCCTGTGACAGTCACAGCAGTCACGGCGGTGACGGAGGTGACGAGTGGCTGAGAGGTCTCCACATGGACGGGACAGTGGCTGAGAAGAACGCCTCGGGGCTGCGGCTGAGACAACGGTGACTGCCCCCCGTCCTCTGTCTGCCCATGATGCCCACCTCCCTTTCGTCTACGTCTACCTCCCGCTTCTGCGCATATAGCTCATGCCAGCTCCAGTTCCATTCGGTCCATGTGGTACCACAAGTGGCACACGCACGTTCTGCTGCACAGCCTCGGAATCCCGGATTTCGTTCGCATGAACCTCGGATCCTTTCGCTGCCAGGAATAACAGCAGAATCTCTGCAGCATTCCTCGAAGGCTTGCGGGAACAGACGCGGATATGCGCTGCTGTATGGGCTGTGGCACTATGGACACGTAGACAGAAACGGGCGACACGAGCGAAGCATTCCGAGCCAGCGTGGGCATGCACTGGGTGCTGGGTGGACGTACAGAGGGAGCGCACGAAGCGCACTCGGGTGCCTACTGCACCGGCGGTTGCTAGGCGGAGCGTAGTGCGCTCCGTCGTTTCATCCCCCGTCGATGCTGCGACTTGTTCTCCTCTCTCTCTACATGTTGTTCGTGGAGGACGACGAGCACCGCTTGAGTTCGCCGTGGCTTCTGGGTAGAGTGCAGAGAGTGTACCTGCTGGACAGATTGGGTTATGGGTATCGCTCTTGCTCATTCCCACCATGCTTCCCACGTTTTCAAGCTTGCCAGAGAGATGCAAGAAGATTGCAGAGCAACCACAGAGCTAGGAGGAGGAACGCCGGGCGAAGCGCAAATCGTGAAGTCTATCGGGGGGAAAGCTCCGCTCACTCCTTCTTCTCGTATCATGCTGGGTGGGTGCCTGCTCCGTATGTAGCAGATCGGGCCTGTCCTGTCCTTGGACCTACGGACCTGCTTCGGGCAAAGCTTGCTACCCACAGCAAGAGCAGGTGCAGAGTGCAGAGTGCGTGCTTGGGCACGTTGGCCCCCGTGCCATACCGTGCCAAACCGTGCCCTGGTATCCCGCTCAGGCATGCTGTCCAGCTTCCCGCAGCTGACGTGCTCCCCTTCGCATCCTTCTGTAGACTCTATCACCAGTGAAGATCAGTGAGAACGGGGGAGGCTTCGGCACCGGCATGGCACGGCATGAGCTCAACTGAGGGGGAAGATAAGGCACACATGTGGGCGACTTTCGTCCGCTCCGGGCCAGAGTGGGCCGCCTCGGAGCAAGGAGCTCGCGGACCTTGCCCCGACTCTGTACTCGTAAAGTAAGGCACTCCACAGACTCTCGGCTGTTCCTCCGTTCTTTCGGGTGACCGGCACCGGGTGACTTCTCCAGGTCGAGCCAACGCTGCCTATCCTGCGTCAATGGATAAGGCAAAGTGGGCCGGCCATATGCTCAGAGCTGAGAAGTGGCCAAAAGTTTCTGGACGGACTTGCAATTCAAGTGAACAGCGAACGAAAACGGAGAGATGAGCACGGGATAGTTTTGGGGACAACCTGGCACGAAACTCAACGTACAGCTTGAGCTTAAACACTCGCATAAGCTCAGAGCTGAGGACTCGGAGGTTATGGTCCTACTCTTATTCGGGATGACGCTGTGCTTTCCGCAAACTCTGCACTTCTGGCGAAACTTTTGGGAGTACGCCTTGCCCTCAGGTCCTCACGTTGGAGGAGCACATCAATCGTCAGTGACTGCGAAGAAGAACGAAGACGACTGGTGCTGCTACTGGTCAGTCACCCCAGCCCTGTAGCCCCGTCGCAGCTCCGACCCAAGGGGCAACAGCGACTGCGACCGCAGGGGCTGCGCTCTCGTGCCCGCGCCCGAGTTGGTGGGGAGAGTTTTTCCTCGGCAGCAGCCGGCAAACCCGTCCGACTTCGTACCTTTCCAAAACCCAACCTTGCGCTCTGTGCCTTATATCTTCGCAATATAATAAGCAGTCTCTGCTTCCGATCTTTCCGGCGTCGGCATTCTCGTCGATCGGCGCGGCATGACGAGAGACGTCCTTTCGTCAACCTACTGCTCGTGTCTGTCAGTTCGGACTCGTGTTTGGTGCCGAGCAGCAATGAGCGGAGTAGATGATCGGGAGCTGTCTGCATGTCTGTCGAGTTTGGGTGGGGTGAGAGGCAGACGGAATGTCAGCTGAATTGTTTACGATACATTGTCTTATCCAGCTTGACGACAGATTTGGCCCACTCTATCCTTCCCTATTGCTTCTTCTGCAGCTTCTGCGGCTTTGTGGCACTTCTCTCTCCAAAGCCGGGGGATCTTTCGGAGCAGCAGCGTCGGGACAAGCAGTTCGGGCATGCATGGCTGCCATGACGCCGACACACGGCTTGATGTCTTTGACGTCACTGTCGTCCTCGAAGGGCATGAAAGGCGGTGCAACTGGAACCCTTCCACCCTTCCTGGTTTCCATTTCCCTGTCGCCCTGCGTCTCGCTCGCACCAATGGAAGCCGTGGCCCCGAGAGTCGTCGAGGGCAGCCATTCAGTCGATAGTCAGAGGTCATTCAGTCTTGCTTTCGGACACTCGGAACTGGCGCTCGACTGGCGCACGCCGCACGCCGCTCCGGAGGCAACCGGCGACCGGGGTGCGGCGTGGAGACGGCGATTGGCGCCGTCCCTCGCACTCACCACACCTGGTGCCTCATACCTTTGCTGGTCGTCTGCTCAATTCTGTCTTGCAGACGTGTTCGTGATCCCAGGGTTGACGAGGGCTGGCGAGGGGGATGGCGCAGGGCTGCGCCGAGTGTGCAAGGGACCCCTCAACCTGTTCAGGAAGGGTAGGATCGTCGCTCGCGCGGCTCTGGTGAATTGGGTACGCGAGTTCTTTTCCGGTGCTGGTTATTCAAATGCCCACTTCGAATACTGTGCCACTCTGTACGAGACAGCATTTGACAGCGGGCTTGGAGTCTCACACGGGCTGATAATCTAACTACAACTGTACAGTTGATGCATTGACGATCATCCCATCTTTTGGTTGATGGTAGTGGGGTCGGCGGTGCGGGGCGCACGGGCCTGGGCACGGGGACGAGGGATGGCACGCGTGGCACGGGGGTGGGAGGTTTGTGCTGGTGCAGCATGCTGCACGAGGTACATCCGTACAAAGGCCAAGCGGTACCGACTAGGCTTTCGAAAGGTGGACAATAGGAACCTGGCGTTGGAGGACTAGCGCGTGTTAGAGTGCACACTAAGGCTGGGCTAAGCTGGGCTAAAGGCAAAGGTGTACCTCGCTGGGCTCGCGAAAAAGGCAAGCCAAAAAAGCACTCGCGCCCTGCTCTAGGGCCAGAGTGTATCGCCGCGCGCCGCCCGGCCGCCTTGAGCCTTGAGCCCTTTCTGTCGGTGCCGGTGGAGGCACTGCCTGTACGCCTGTGTCTCTGACTACACGGCCAGGCTCGACTCATGATGATGCACATATGCACAGCAGGGTATACTCGGTTTACATCATTGCTGCGAGAGAGAGAATGTCCTCGGTGGATTAGGAAACAAGCTTATCGATGGGACGATCAGCGTAATGGTGGTGTATTTTTTGGTTCCGACTGCACTCTGCAACGGGCAGTGCGCAGCGACCGGGATGGCCGCTGGGAGAGTGGTGCGTGCGTGTGCCGCTCAAACGCCTGGGTGTCCCAAGGTCAGGGATGGACAGGGATGGGAGTCGGCAGCCCTGAGTGGACCCTGGGGAGTGTGTTCCGTGTCTGGATATTGGGCTGAAGGAGCGGAGTAGTCGAGCGAGTCGAGCGAGTTTAGGCTGAGCCAGTTGCCCCACTCTGAGCCCTGGAGTGGCCGCCCTTAGTCAAACCTGCTTGTATCACCCGCCCGTACCGTGCCGTTGTCGCCGTGTCCGTCCACCCGTTGACCATCCATGCACCCACCACCACCCAACGCGTTTCTCCCTCTCCTGTCCAAGCCATAGGGTAAGCATCGTAAGCAACATCCCATAGACCCTGGCCCTCCTACCTCCTCGGCACCCACACAACTCAATCCCCCTGCCCATGCTCCCCAACCAGGCAAGCATCACCTTTCATCATCACCACCCAGCGACAGCGACACCGTCAGCCAACCCAACCCAACCCGCCAGCCAGCCTACAGCCGACACAGCTCACTCGACCATTCAGCGACCGACCTAGCCGACACACACACTGACACACACACACCGCTCACCGTCAGCCAGCCAGCCAGCACTACACCCACCCACCTGCTGCACAGCCTCGGAATCCC